GTTGCGGACAGGACCAGTGGCATATCCGCATTCTAGATTTTGAGAAAGCTGCAGCTACACAGATCTGGAGGCAGTCTTCGGGACGTGATACCAGCGCGGTGCTTCAGGAAGCGGTGTCTGCCGGCGAGGCCCGAGGTAAAGGACTATGAAAAAGAATTTAAAAGCCCTTGTTGAGAGACCGAGAGATTCAGAACAGAAATGAACTTTGTAGCATTGCTTGGATGACTTGATGCAAGTTAGGAGGATATAAAATAAGAAGAACTGCTAAAATACAATATCACCAGCAGTGGAGGTTGCTTCGCTCCTCCTGGGCGCCGGAGATGTGCGCAGGCACACCTTCCTCAAGACCAGTCACTTCGGAGATGTAAGTTTGCACAATACATGCTGGCAAGGGCACTACAAGGGAATGCGAACAATGCGCGATGTTGAGCGGTAATCAGTTTCGCAGCGTCTGTCCACGGACACGGACATGAGGATGTTTGTTCACCTCAACACTTCAGCACAATCAGGTTCAAGATTACCTCATGCTGTTTGACGCGCTACCTTGAAGGGCTGACAGCTGCCGGTGGGCATACAAAGAAGCTCCACTTAAGTTCAGAAGAGATAGTTCATGCTTACGTGTTCTTTTGGCAAAAAGCAGCAGAACAACTACGCTCTACTGTAAACTGGCACAGGCTTCTTCTTGAAGCTGCTGCTTTTGGCGCATCACTGTGGGAAGCAGAGGCGAAGGCGCAGTTGCAAAACCAATTCGGAACGGCTGCGCCTGTCCAGTCAGTCAACCTGCTCAGGCTGCTGATCTCACCAGGCTAGTGCCATCGAAGCAACCGCGATAGGGCCTCAGGGAATTTATTTCCGCAGGCGAACCCAAGGGTTCCAGTTGGAGGTAATTGATTGTAGGGATCGACGTGCGCGGGAAAGATCAGAAAGTTTTGTGGTACAGCGTCACCACGAGCTTTAAGAGGGTTTGCCGGTTCGACAGGGATTGTAGGGTTTTCGAGGTTTTCTGTCAGTCCAGTCGCAGGGCTTAGGGGTGGGCGGCGCGGTGAGGACCAACACGTTCTGGTTAGTGGGAATAAACACGTCGCATTCAACAAGCGCAGGTCTCAAGGAGAGGGTGCGGAAACGTGTCTTTCCACATGTGCCTGACATGCTGGTTGTGCATGAACGCACGATTGTATACCTTGTCTGTTTTGTGCCCAGGCCTCTCCGACTTTGGGGTGCAAGCAGATAGTATGCCCCTCAAAAGTCGGAACTGGTTGCATGAATGTTGCGGGCGGAGCAGGTGGCTTTTCCGCTCATCGCTAATCATGCCAATTGTGCAGGTGATGGCAATCCTGTCGTGCCAGAGTGAGAGCAAGAATTAGCAAGAGACCCCGAGCTGTTTCAGAGCTGTACATAGTTGAAGCATAGTGCCCGCAGCAGGTAGCGATAGTTTGGCGGATTGCAGCGGATATGAAAGTGCATCTCTCCTTGACGCAACTGCTTCTGCCGAGTGACATGTTACAAGTAGAGCAGGGTTTGGATTGTTCCGCCTGGTTGCAAGACTCATGAATGCGCGAGCTGCCAGACTCAGACGCTGCCAGGGCGCAAAGCAGCCACGATCCGTACTGTGCATTCGACAGGCGCGCTGCCAGGCCATGGTGGCAGGTATAGATGAGCACAGAAGTGCACAGACTTTCTGTCAATATGTTGTCAAGAAGCAGCGAAGTCTAAGGAAGCATACAAGCATCGCAGACGGGTACATGCGGCTCAGAATTTGGTTTCCCCTCTGTCTGCTGGTTTCGGAGCACCAGTGTTCAGAGTATTTGTCTCGTTGATGGTACCAGCTTCTGGGCTTTGATAGGTGTCTTGAAGGCTTGCAAGGAGTGGCAGCTTTCGTATTTCATGAATCGAGCAGCTTGCGAGCGTGTGTCTGCCCTGAGCGTAAGAGAAGTGTGCAGGCCTGTTCTCCTCCCATCTGCTGCTCCGTGCTGCCATTCCGGCAAACTCACTTTCAATTCTACGGGGCGAGCATTTGAGGTGACAGCCTGCATTATCTCTAGGCGTCCAAGTGGGATAGGCCTGCGGAAACCGGCAACACCCTGAGAATCAGCCGTGCATTTATTCGTGCTGTGCAGTCGTAGAGCAGAATACATTTTCATACATTTTAAACAATTGAGTGCCCAGTTCGCACAACTGCATTAGCACATACTCTACTTACTTGTTTGTTGTACGCCATTTCGAGACGCTTCGGCCGTTTCACGCCAGTAAAGTCAAGAAACGCCTCACAGCATTGGCCTTGCCCATCCTGCCCGTTGGACGCTCTGAAGAAGACACCAAGCCATTCCTTTGAGTTCGGTCCCAAGAGCCGGCACTGAAAGCGTGCATCCTCGGCTCCTCGCTTACATGGGGAACTTGTAAGAAGCCTGCCAGCATCTCGATGGGCGAACCTGGCTACCAGTTAATCAAGACGCTCCTTTGGCCTCTGGGCAGACTTTTGGTGGGCCTTTTGCCACCCGAGGCGTGCTCCCGAAAAGGGGAAAGCGAGGGTGTTGCGAAAAGCAGGAGCTAAGAAAGGCGAGTCTGATATCCTGAACGCACGTCATGATGGTTTGCTGATGAATGCAGCGCGGGGGATGGCACACATGGCACGAAACTCAATCGGCTCCGAGGCGGGTGTTGGTTCTGTAATTCGTGGGCTTTGCTGTGTCGTTAGACTGCATTGCCTGCCCAACGTGTTGCACCCGAAGCCGATTCTGATATGTAGACGGAACTGCACTTGAGATCACTTGAGTCAACTCCACACCTTCGCAGAAGGCTCGCGATATTACTTCCGAACGCTCCTGCTGGTGCTGTTCATCATGGTCGACACTGGCCAGGCTGCCATCAGTCAGAGCACTATGCTGTCGCAGAGGTGTCTGATTCTACGGTGCAATAATTGTCTGGCATTTTCTGGCTTTCCTAGAGTCGAGTACCAGGTGAGTGATTGTTTGCTGTTGTCTGGCTCTGGAAGCAGGTTGAACATGACTAATCTAGTTGGGGTCCGCAGAAGCTTGACTGCTTCAAGGGCGCACAAGTCTCACCGCTGAAGCACTAGCTGGAGTAGAAGCCGCCTGGATTTCGTGGAATGTCCTGTGCGTAAGAGGAAGTTCAAGGGTGGCCCGCGTTTTCCACAATAGTAGAATTTTCGCGCGGCCGCGCGCCTCCGCGGCCCGGCGGTCCGACGCCTGGAGCTCGCGGCCTACGGTGTTTTCTGCGGTTAACGTGTTTAGGATGAGGGCGCTCAGACCCCTATAGTTTGCCGCAATTTCCAGAAATCCAGTTTTTAGTTTGTTTTAGGTTTAATGTGTTTTTTAGGGTTTGGGGTGTCATAAGGGTTTCAGGGTTTAGGGGCGTTTAGGGCTGAGGATGTTTTAGGATTTAGGGTTTTCAGGGTTTAGGGCTTCCAGTGTTTTTAGGGTCTAGAATGTTTAGGGGTTTGAGGTTTTCAGGGTTTAGGATTTTCAGGATTTTTAGGGTTTTAAGGGTTTTCAGGGTGCAGGGTTTTTGGGCTTTTGGGTGTTTAGGGTTTTTAGGGTGTGGCGTTTCTAGGGTTTAGGGTGTTGTAGATTGTTCTAGGAATTTATAGGGTGTAGGGGCTTTTGGGTTTCAGGGTGAGGGTTTTTGGGGTTTAGGGTGGCCAGGATTTTAGGGTTTACGAGCAGAAGGGTTAGGCCACGGTGTCTCAGGCTGTTAGGGCTTAGGGTTTTTAGGGTTTAGGGCATCTACGGTTTTCAGGGTCTAGCGTGTCTAGGGGCTTTAGGCATTCAGGGTTTAGAATTATTTCTAGGGATTTAGGGGATTTAGGGTTTTTAGGGTTTAGGGTGTTTAGGGTTTTTGGGATTTAGTGATTTTAGGGTGTAGGGCGGCCCGTGCCCGCGGCGGGAGGCCGCAGCTGCGGCCCCCCGCTGCCCGCGGGCAGCGGCCTGCGGCGCCTGCGGCGCCGTGGTCAGTGGCCCGGCGGCCTGCGGCCGACCGCGACTCGCGTTTCCACTCCACAATAGTAGACTTTTCGCGCCTCACACAAGCCCCAACCAACTCTTCACTCCCCGACCACAGGCTGGCAACCAGGTCTTGCATCAGACGTGCTGTGCAAGCATTGTATGGATCAACTTCCACAGCTTCCCAATTAGCTTGCACATATTTAATTTCAACTGCTGTGTGCGGCTTGCGCATTTGAGGTAGCAGTCCTAGGCCTTTCCCGACCCAGTGCTGGCATCTCCTTCGTCAGCAGGCTTTGGTGATGGACTGGGCTGAGAACAGATCGTGGAAGGAAGATCGGAATGGTCGTCAGTTGCTTGGCTTTACAGGATTCTTGGGAAAAAGCTTTTTGGCAGGAAGAGTTTGAAGGTAAGACGACATCCTCGAAGCCTGGCTGTTCACCACGATAGTTGTTCTCCTGCTATGAATTGCATTCCTTCAAGTTGCTCTGTATCTGCGTTGGCCGGGGGTGGCAAACACCTAGTTGTCTCTCCAAGTCTTCAAGTGAGCTGAAATCCTTTTATGTTTCCAGAATCACGACAGCTACAGTATAGAAAAATTGCGGTCTGAGAATACTTTGCGCACCGCAAGCGAGAGGTTGTGCTGGGAAGACACCTCCCATTTATTTGTTCTCAGCGTGAAAGGGGCCAGTTCCTGCATGAGTTGCATAGGCGTCAGCATCGGGCAGACAAATGCATGCTACCCAAGCTTGCCAACCCTGTCTCCAGTGATGTTGCTGCACGAATCCGCAGCTGCTCAACATGTCAGAGAGCAGCTTGATATTTACCATGCTTCCGAATTTGTGCCACTTTTTGGATGTGAGTCTAGAAGGCAATAAGCTTTCCATGTGCGAGCCGAGGTATGCGCGACAGACTGCTTTGGTTGTGGAGTCGGGCCTATCTGTCATAACAGGCTGCGCATGATCTGTGGGCCAGCGCTATGCATGACAACTTTGTGATACGCATCTTGAAGCTCTCTGGGCAGGACTGACGTTGACGCTCATGCTTGGCGGAGCACAGCTGCTGTCTTCCAGTTTCTGGCCGCTTTTCCTCCGGGTGCCAATCTTACTATTCTTGCGCGCTGCTTATGTTTGGGTCTATCCATCTGTCCCATGAACTCCGGCTGTTTTTGCCAAACCCTCATGTGCCAATCTAGGACTGACATACCATGAATTGAATTACGCGAAGGAAGTCCGAACTGAAGATCATGCAGCATGCATGATGGAGTTTGCAATTCTTGAGTGTGGATGATCAATACAAGTTGTTTGGTTTACCCAGTCAATGAACTAGGAACAAGCTAATCTACAACTTGGAGCCACTTGACTGCAGTTTTTCCCAATTGCGGTCTTCTTCGCGACTGGCTTGTCGCTGAAGATGATGGCCGTAAATCATTTTCAGGCAGGTTGCAAATAGCCCTTGCAAGCACAGACATGCTGCTTGAAGATGCTCCTGGCTGGCTGCATTAATCTTGCAACCTGCAAGCCTAATCATTGCTTCCTACGCCTTGTACGACTTTCAGATCCCTTAGGTGTAGTTATATGCAGGCCGGGACAATCAAAATCGTTGGCCAGCTACGGTATATGGACTCAGCAATGTCGTGAGCTGTCACCAGAACTGACTCCTCAAAGCAACATTTTCCAGAGGTTAGCCTTGGTGGCTTTGGCCTCCACCCTGATGCTCGCGCGATCGTGCCGCAGTACCATTTAGATGACTTCACTGTTTCAGCCAAGCAGCTTTGATCACATTTGGGTTGTCCGGTACCTGAGGTACACCATCAAGCAATGGATTGCCATAGCCTCTGTGACCACTTTCTGCGTGCCAGAGACTTGATGGATCCATATGGAGCCCGTGATGGCACCTAGCCTCTTTTTCCAAGCTTGCCCACCGAGGCTGTTTGTCCAGCAAAAAGGACAGGGAAGGCAGAATGCACTGCTCTTCATGGCTCTTTTTCTGAGTATGCTGTCCTCATTAAGGAGCCAGCAGGGAAAGTCATGGAAATGGAATGGGCGCAGCCCCCAAACAAGCTTTTCTCGCTTGCTTGACGGCAGAGAAGGCTGTTATCTCCTCAAGCTAAAACTGCAAGGCTGTCTCAACTTCTTGGGTGGGTTTGCATGAATGTCATTGGCGGCACGCTGGCGGAGAAGACGCAACCTCGCCTTTCATCAGCATCACGGCTTGAGGTCACATATACCAAGTTGGACTTGTAAGCAGGTACAAGCGAAGTGTTGGCCCGTATTACGTCCAGAAGGTGGCTCAGGCAGCCGCAATGCAAAGTCATGTTGTTTGCGGTCGAGTGTCAACCGTTCTGCCATGCAGGATTTGGGACACTTCCTGACATCCGCTATGATGCTTCTAGTGGCACGTGACTTGGGGAGAGTCTGATTTTGTGCTGCTTGTCTGCTGTGCCCAAGCCTCTTGCAAGGTGGTTCCGCGCTTTAATCCGGGCGAGGAGTCCTCTGCTGTCATCTCCGCTGGGTCTTTCCAAGCTTACAGCCACAGACAGTGAAGTCACTAGCGCTGGGCAGGGTATCCATACAAGTCAAGTGCAGGCTTATGCAGATCAAGTACTCAAATCCCGCTCGCTGCCGCTTTCCAGCTGAGTTGGCTCCCAGACCTCGGAACCTTGACCGTCGGAGACCTGCGGCTTTCTCACCTCGCCTTTACACACATAGACACACTCACACGGGGAAAGGGTTAGACCCTTGTGGCTTCGAACCATCGAAACTCTAAGTTTCGATGTCCTGATAGGGATAATCAGAAATGATAGGACTAGCACCGTTCCAGACTCATCCTGCTGCATAGGAATAGAATATCCGGGACTTGACTGTGCACATGTCTGGACTGCAACTGAAAATAGGGCTGTACCGCATGTCCACTGCACTCGTGTGGGAATGAAAAATCTCTGCCCCAATGGTAAGAGTAGATAACATATATAGGTCTGTATATTTATATAGGTGTGTGTATGTATATATAGACGCTCAAGATTGGGGGCCTAAATCACAACCAAGCCTCGCCGAAGACCACGAGGACGGCGAGGAAAAAGTTGAGCAGATAAGAGGAAAAAGGCCAAAACGGACAGGTACAGTCACGGTCCTTAGTCGCATCGGTGTCTGTTAAATCTCGGCGATCGGGTCGCATCAGTTTTTGATAATCGATAGCCGTGCTTGGCATTTCCCATTCAAAGCTGAAGCATTCAGAGTTGGTAAGGAAAGATCGTGTGAATTCGGAACTCACAAATCCCCAGGGCATACTGGGATCTGAACACTGCTCTCATACTACCATTGCTGCAGACTTTGAATCTCGGACCTTTTTTTCGGTGCTTTAGGATTTTGATATCTATTGCACCCAACCATTTTGGCTATGGCAGAGGCCGATGCTAGGGCCAATGCTGGAGAGTTCCCAACATGGCACAGTGCTGTCAGAAGTGATAATGCATTGCAATGGGCAATACTTCTCCCACGAAGTTTCAGCCCCTCCGCAAACAAAACAGACCAGCACAGACCAGATAGCATCGGTGCACTAAAAGCCCGTGCAAATAATGTTGCAATGTGTCGTTGCGTTTTCACCCCCCCCGGAAAAGGTCTAAATGAAAGTCGTTGCATTCCATCGATTCACGTGGTGAGTCAGGTAGTGTTAAACTGTCGTGTTCAAGGAGTTTTCCGTTGAATGCTGAGTCTGCATGGGGATTTGCTTTTCTTGGGGGCCTCAATTAGAACGGGGGGCTTTGCATTTTGTTCCAGAGCTGTTGAGGCTCGTTGTATGGGTTTTCTCGGGGAATGCCTAGAAGTCCTTGCCATTTCCCAAAAAGAAAGGAACTCCCGTGCCACATGCGCTTCACACTATGCTTGCACGGGCTGTCACTGGACTGTGGGACAGCTCTTAAGAACAAATTTTTCACTGCAGCATACTTTTCTTCCTGGCACCGTCATGCCATTTAGGAAACTCTTCACTATGGCTAGCTACGGCCCGATCCACAGCCAAAACCCGAAACACAAATAAATGGATTCAAAGCTCCACGCCGACAGTGCCAGTAGTAGTATGCGAGCAGCGTCTTGATCGAGTGTGCCCCAGGGACTTTCCTGTTGACCAATCAGTTCTGACTACACTTCACGTTTTCTTATCCAATGTTGTATGCTAGGCTCTGATGCGTCCACATCAGCCGCTTTTTCACGCGTCAATTGAGCGACTACTTCGGGAAGCCATGTCTCAAGCAAGGCTACTGTGATCATAAAAACATCATGTGTAGAGTGCTGATCAGGACGGCGTCTACATGCAGTTTGGCAACAGTATTCCTCCATATCCTAAGGCGTGGCGGTTTTTGTCGAAAAGCGCACCAAAGTTGCGTCTGCATGGTGCTTGAAATTGCCGAAGTACTTTCCGAGCCACGTTGGCTGGATCCATGGCATGTGTTTATGAGGCGTCAACATGCTGTTCGGGGGGTTCTAAAGTCTCTCATAGACCATGAAAGCTGGATCAGTGACACGTGTCCACAAGGCGTCCGCATATTAATTTGGGGTTGCCAAAGTACTCCCTAAACCATGAGAGTTGGATCCGTGACAGGTGTCTACAACGCGTTTAGAACGCGTTTCGGGTCGCCAAAACATTGCTTAGGCAAGTTGATGCGTCGCAAGTGTTGACCAGGTGTCTGCATGGTGTTTCGGGCTGCCAAAAATTCATTTCTTAATCCGTGACAGGTGTTTGCGAGGTTTCTACATGGCGTTTTGGGCTGACAGACTGCTTTCTTAACCATGAAAGTTGGATCTGTGACATGTGTTTACAAGGCGTCTACGTGGTAATTTGGGTTGCCAAAGTATTTCTTAAACCATATTCCTCGTTGCCATGGGCCTTGAAATCAGGTCTGGGGGTAGCGTCCTGATACAAATTGTAAATAGCGAGGGGTAGCATCCCGGGGCGTTATGAAAATCACGAAATTCTGGATAGTTCAGAAACTACCATTTATTTTGGCTGGGTGCCTTTTGTTGCAAGGGTGCTGTGCCTATCGCTCATCTACATGCAAACCTTGTCGTCTGCCACACAGGCGACATCTCTGCACTGATGTTCAGTGGCCATGCTGCGTGTGAAACATGATGCAAGCGTTGGCGTTTGCCAAACACGCAACATTTCTGCAAACTCACTCTTCCTGGCTCTTGTGAACGCAGCGTCTGCTGTAGGGTGGCCACAATGCGTGTACAATGTACAGCAAGCTTGGCTTCCGGCTCAAGTCTATGTATCACCGCATTCTCTTGGGATTGATGGCTGATGGCTGGCCTAAAGTTCTACAGGCAAGGCAAGTCATGATTAGATGGATTTTCGTTCTCCGGTGGTGGTACAACTTTAGTACCGGAACGGCCATTCCCAGCGATTGGACGGATTTTCGTTCTTTAGATGTACAACTTTAGTCTACCGGAACGGCCGTTGCCAGCGACTGGACGAAATTTCGTTCACTGGTAGTACAACTTTAATCCTGGAACGGCCATTCCCGGCGACTGGACGGAGTTTTGTACGCTGGTGGTACAACTTCGGCACCGGAACGGCCATTCCCGGCGACTGGACGCTTTTCGTTCTTTGGTAGTGCAATTTCAGCACAGGAACGGCCGTTCCGGGCGACTGGACGCATTTTCGTTCTCTGGAAGTTCAACTTCAGCACCGGAACGGCCGCTCCCCGCCACTGGATGGATTCTCGTTCTCTGGCACTTAGAACAGTTTTAGTAATGGAACGGCAGATCCCGGCATCGCATCAAAATTCACGTTGGCTACTCGAGGTGTCTCCTTAGGGAAACACTGCGAGCAAACACGTCGCCATGACTTCCGTAAAACAGCATCTGCGTGGAAAACGCGTCGAGCAAAGACTTAGCCATGACGCAAGCGGACGCCTGAACCTATCTACCATGAAGCGTCCTCCAATGGAGCTTCCCACTTGCTAACAAGGAAAACCCAGAAAATCGTAGCAAAACCAATGGATCCCATCAAGAATCTTATGTACCAACATGAGCCTTCCGATGGAAGTTCCCAGAAGCTCCCAAGGATGACCCAAACAGTCCAACTGAAACTATGGATCCTCTCACCAATCCTACCTCCCTCTCAGGGTTTTAGTGCATTTCCTTGCTACGAAGATCTACGAAGAATTTTATCCTAGATCCGTTCTAAGGGGATCTTGAGTGGAAACGAAAACTGATGTGACTCAGGCCTTAGACTGTAGAAGATGAAATGCATAAACCCCAAGGATTTAGCGCCTAAACCACAGCCAAGCCTCGACGAAAGGAAGAGGACGGAGAAGAAGAAGCAGAGCACGAAAAAAAGGCGGCCGATCACGAGGAAGAAGGCGAAGGTAGGGACGAACAGGTACAGGAGAAACGATCCCCCGACCCGATAGCGAAAATAGAGAGCGTGAAGGCACAAAAACAGGCCCACCGAACGACACTGACGCGAGCCCCGCCGGAAACCAGTCCCCGAAAATGAACAAAGCCACAAGGCCGAACTGGTTCAGGGAGACGGCAAACTGCCCGAGCTGCATTTTTGGCCCTTCTGCCACTTTAAGGCTGACGCCACAACAGACAGAAAGTCTGACTCTCGATGGGAAAAGAGAATCGAGCCTATTGCTCACTCAACGTGGCTGGGCTCCAGGCCTACTACCGGCCCTTTCGGCCTCTCCAGTGACACCGCCCTTGCGACGCCTATACCAGAAGGCCCTGGGTACTCGCAAGCGGGCAAGTCCCAACAGCACACGGACCATCGAAAACCGAAGCTTCGATGTCCTGATAGTAATAACCAGATAGTGATAGGACTAGAACCGTTCCAGACTCATCCTGCTGCATATGAAAAGAATATCAGGGACTTGACTGTGTAGATGTCCGGACTGCAACCGAAAAACATGGCTGTACAGCAGGTCCACTGCACTCATGCCGGAATGAAAATCTCTGCGCTAAAGCGCGTCTCGTTGTCGTTTTAGGCGGACCTAAGGGACCTTCCCATCACTAACACCCAACTACCACGACGGGTCCAGGGCTATGCGCCCCTCCCCGCGGGTGTCTTTGTTGGCCAGTGACTCCCAGGGAGAGCGTCGGCCCCTTGCAGTCTCATGCGAAACTTGTTTGAAATGAAAACCCATACGGTAGAATTGGCAAGCAGGGGGTACACACACACACACACACACACCCAGACACTTGTATAACAGGACATATTCTTGCAAATGAGAATGACTTTCTTTGCGGTGCTGCTCAGTGAACTTCTCACGTCAGTAGATTAGCCAGTTCGCCTGAAAAAGCACCGCGAAAGCACGGCCGGCCAACCTGGCCTCGCGTGGCCATGGAACCTATCATGGAGGACTCTGAAGAAGGCAAGCACCAGACCCCCACGTTGCCGGGGCAATCTGCTGGATGCATTGGAATGGACGTTGAATAATTAATTGCAAGTACATGAATTTCAACTCTGTGAGGCACACTGTGAATGCACCTTTGCTTATGATTTCTGCAGGTCTGAAATCGGACCCCAATTTCGGGAGCCAGCCCCTCAGATATGTGTGCAGATGCCTGCAAAAATGATACGTGATGCGTGGCAGTCCTGTGGCTGCTCCAGTCTATAAGTGCAACGTGTCTCGTTGTAATCCACCATATGCCGCTTATTTGTACCTTCGAACTGATCACTCACCCGGCTGTTCGAGAGGAGAGTGGTGTGCAAGTATGGCGCAATCTTGCAGCCATTCTTGGCTCGGGGGCCCAATTGTTTGTAGGTCATTGCAGGTGTTGCAGGACACCCACTTTTGAAAGAGAGCTCGTAGTCGATGAGGTGGTCCCTCATTTTGAGCGCTCTTGCCTTATCAGCATCCTCCCAGTCCAGTGGTGGCTCCAAAAAATGCAAAGGCAGCTATGCGAATCCGGTCGTCAATTTGTGCTCAGACCACTGGCCCGATGCAAAGTCAACACGTGTTTGGATGGTAGTTTTCTACACCTCATGGTGTGGGCATTGCCGTGCTCTGGAGCCCAAGTACAAGGAACTCGGAAAGCTATTAAAGAACGACAAGAACATTGGCATCGGCGCGGTGGACTGCGACATTGATAGGGCCACCTGCTCAAAGTACGGGGTCAGCGGATTCCCTGCCCTCAAGGCCATCATAGGTGGAAAGGGCAAGTCATATAATGGTGCCAGGGAGACGGAGCCCATGAAGGTATGGATTGAAGGTGTTGCCAAGAATCGAGGAACCAAGGGTGGAAGCGCCAAGTGCGCAGTTGGAGTCTTCAAGAGCCGTGTCAAAGATGCAGTGGTGCCACTGTGTGAAGAGCACTTTCCAGATGACAAGGCTAAAAATGACTGGCTAGTTCTTTTCTACAGTTCCCAGAGCTCAAGCAGTGCAGATCTGAAGGAGGTTCTGCACAGACTTGCTGTTGACCTGGGCAACGACCCTCCTGACATGAGCAAGTCGCTGAAGAAGCCCAAGAAGAAACGCGATCGGCTTGAGTCCCTGGCAGAAAAGTATGAATTTGCAGTTGAATTGCCCAAGAAAGGACCGTTCGGTATGGATGCTTTAGCGAAGGTCGGCGGAGTTTGCTGTGATTGCAATGAAGATGCTGCTGCCTTTTGTGCCAGCTCTCTCAGAATTGGTGAGGAAGACGTGCAGGCTCCTCAAGTTTTCTGGGTGTCCAAAGGGCATCGCGAACTCCTGAAAGATGCCGAGATGTCTGCAGGAACTCTTAGCAAGCTTGCAGTGATGAAGCTCGGATTCCTTCCCGGCGCGAGGGCTGAGCTTTGAAGAAGCAACAAAACCGGACCGAAACCTAGCTTAAGTTTTCACCCTACACACTTGCCATCTGGCAAGACAGACCGCAGCTGCCTTGGCGACCCAAAGACGTTTTGCCATGGTGCCACAGTGGCCAAGCACAGAAGCAGCATGAAGTCAAAGCCTTTCCCTATCCTGCACCACTCCTCACCACCAAGCCCCTTTCTGCAAGTGGAGTGTCAGGTCTCTTCGAGGCAGTTACGAAAAGTTCAGGACCAATGCTGTGATATGTCATGCCAGGAGGTGGTTAAGTATTATCTGGATTGTACGGAGTGACCGGTGTCTGACTATTACCTCAGCTCTAGTACCAACAAAATAAAACTGCGGTCCTATCTTCTTATTCCATGCTAATATATTCAAGGCAATCGCTTGCTTGAAAGACTTTAATTTGAAACATTCTAATTCCCTCACAATAAATGTCCTAAATACCGCACCACGCAATGCAGTGCAGACACGTTCTTTAGGAAGATGTCAAGGCNNNGGTCATCCTCAACAGAAATCCAACTTCAAATCAGCCGGGTGAACATGGAGAAAAGACTTACTCTTGAACAGCTCCTCCCTCCCCTCTCACCAGCTTCCTTTACTTTCACGCCCTTTCCTCAAGTAAGGCTCCAAAAGCAAGTAGCAGAGTGCACCAGATGATCCTGGCACGGCGGTAAGGTCTGTCCTCAAACCTCAGGTAAAGCTTGCTGATCCAAAGCACTTTGCAAAAAACAGGTCCGCCTTGTTCAAGGTAATTTGGTATTTTGCTGTTTCTGTGCCGGTCGGGACATGAAGTTTGCGGTAACAGTTTAATTCGTCAGATGTAATTGGAGGCGTATGGAGTATGGGCAGCCTGTGACAGAAGAAGCCGATACTTCGCAATTTGGAAGGACTGCGCAGATCTGATGATTGCCTTCAGAGGCCGCTGCATGCAACGCAGGTCAGTGCCCGGCCACGCTGTCTTGACCCGCTCAGTAGTTGAATTCAAAGGGCGAGAGAAGGCTGACCCTGAGCCTTCTCTCCACACAAAGCATGATGGAACGGAGTTACAGACAAGCGCTAATTGCTCGCTTTGCCTCTTGGGGACACATAAAGCATCAGGTTCTGCTAGGCTGCCTTCAAGTCAGACATTCTGTTGAGCTGCATACAAGGCAAGCCTATGTTCATCCTTTTTTGTAACCAAGAGGATGAACATGCACTGCAATTGCCAGAAGGAAAAAGCTTGTCCTGGACAGCTGCTTTTGCACTGGACATTGCCGTTCACGTTTGCCTCAACCCCTCCGCTCAATGCAGGATATCCGCAATCGCTCCGTACGTCCCGGCGGCTTTTTCGATTCTTGGGACTTCCGAACAGTTGCAGCCGTGGGCCTACACTCGCAGTGCCGGAAATGCAAACCCGCCATGAGGCATTGCTGAGAGAGCTGAGAGAGGGTTTGCCCGCGTGTTGCTAATAGCGCGCTGTGAGACGCAGCCCTAAACGGAACTCTGGACTTCTCCTACCTCATTTTGGCTCTGTGGGCTTCAGAGGGTTAAGCGGCCCGAGTTCAGATGCGGCTCTCAAAATTGCGCGGTCCCTCGCTGCAAATCTGAACCTCGGTGGCTTTCGCCCTCAGCTTCCTTTCAACTGCACCGAGATGGCATACTAGGCTACAGAAAGCCTGTGTTGGTAAGCCTCAGTGGGATTCAGGTTTGCCAAAGAGGTTGGAAAGCTTGTAGCAGAGTTGTGGGTACTGGCATTCATTTGGCGCTCGATTGGTTTGGCTGCTTTTTGGCATGAGTGTTCTTCAAAAATGGGTGTTGTTCAGTGTAGTGACCAGTGACCTGTCGCAATACGGAACGCAGCCTCTTGGAGCAACCGGATGAATTGATGGATGGATGCATGTTTGGTTGTGTGTGAGCGGATGAGGTTGTTGCATTCCTGTTTGTCGATGCCTGGGTCTCGAACTTATTGCTGAAGGACATTTCCGCGCAGTTTGCCTCGATATCAACTTAAAGTGCTTAGATAAACTCTTCCCGATGATGGCGTAGTAAGGGCAGGGCGTGCGGGTTCTTATTCATGCAGAGGGCTGCGGGGGGAGCGCGTTTTGATTGCAGAAATGAAATGACAGTTAGCAGGTTTCTGGATGCCTTGCTGCAAGTGGTAAAGTTGCTTTTCACGCTCGGCAAAGGAGTTCTCCGGCGTTACGAGGGGCGTCTGCAAAGCAGCTTCGGTGGCTATTGTGTACCCTGAGCCACTCTGTGAGAAGCAAGTCCAACTATCAGTTTGCTTGATGAACAGAGTTGTCGCCCTGATCGCATGTGTTGTGCTTCTTGGCTTCAAGCTGCACATGGCGGCTTGCGTGTGTGTCAGCTCTGCACCAATCAACACCTCATAGGTTACTTATGGTGACTTGCACGGCACGTCAAAAGCAGGAAATGGCAGCCAGTCCGCTGAACGATACTAACTATCATCAAGCAGCACTGCTGTTGTGCCTACGAATACGGATGGCATTTCTGCGACTGCCGTCAACCCCTGGTGGTCCATCTTGGAGGGATTCGCTACTTGCAGAAGAACCATCAGTGGACCAGGCACAGACCACTTGCGCAGACATGCTCGAACAATGCAGTGCCCAGATCTAAATGGGGAGACTAGCCGGCAAATCCTGTTGAGTAACTACCGTTGCAGTACCTAGAACCCAAGCTCCATGTGTTCTCTCCAAAATTTCTGTCTTGATTATACTGTTCTAGTTCATGTTGTTGGCTCACCCTGTTGAGCACCGTAGTTCTAAGGACTTTAGGAGGGACCCCTAATAGGGACCCTTGAAGCTTATGGAGGCTAATATGGGAATTACCTAGGAGTATAGGGGCTCAATGGGATTAAGGGTCCCTAGTAGGGGTCCCTCCTGGAGTCTCTGGAGTAGTAGTGCCCGCCACCGAATCGAATCGATTCCATTCCTGGTGCTTGAGACTGGTTTGGTCTCATTATGTTTCATCTGGGAAGCTTGAGCGTCGACATTCGCGCTGCTGGTTTGCTGGAGGCTGGCTTTCTGGCAGGACCGTGGGGTGAGTGCCTCGCGGAGGCGATGTGCAGACAGAAGAACTGCTTTTGAGAAAGATCCCCTGAGCTTTGCTGAGCATCTGAGCATTGCTTGCAGGCCACGGTTCGTGAACATGCGGAAACCAACCAAGGCCAGGCTGGACAGGCCAGGCATGGTCAAGACTTCTCATAACTTCATATCCCTAAACTTTGCACTTCTTAAAGCTAATGGAACCCAACTCCAAGCTCCAGCTCGTAGATGGAACTCTTCGCCTCCAACTCGTAACAGCTCATAGAATTCATAGCGTTCTGCGACCAGGTCATCGATTTCTTAGACCGCTGTGGCCACCGGCGCTTTGGCAAAGCGGCGGACAAGCTGGAAAGGCGGTGAGATTAAGCAATTTGGCATGGCACATGCTGTCACATGCTCATCGAAGTCATGCCGTTCCTTAATCGCCAAAACACCTGTCCTGTCAATCTGCTCGCGCAGGGCAACCCACAAAGTGATGAGAAAGGGAGGATTTCATGCCTGCCCGCCTTCGGAGATGGACCCTCAGGCCCCGACCGAAGTTTCAATTTCATGGTATCGTTTCTCATATAGGTATTGAGCAGCTTGGAGCTTCCCGAAACGATGTGCTGCTTTGGCAAAGGTGTGGGGTCGCACAAGGCAATTGCCAATCGGCGTCCAGGCTTGACGCATTTGCTTTTCGCTTGAGATGCCAACGGGTACCTTGCCAGAAATCTGAAACTTCTGTCGACTGTCGTGGCCTGTGCTCCCGTGACGAGGGTGGCCACGCAGTTGGAACTCGCCCGCCTCTACACTGTCTGATGATGTCTGCTGATCTGCGACGCAGCCAGCCAGTGGCCTGCGGCCGATCTAGTGCCAACGGCCAGTAAAATGAAGGGGTAGCCCCAAAAAGAGGTCCCTGTACAAAACCCTGCCAAACGAAGCAGCAACCAAGCAACCACGGGTCTAACTTGCAAATCAGGTTCGAACATTTACATTCTGCTGATAATCCAAGGCATTCGAGACCACTCCTTGGTCCTGCGATTTCGTTGCTTCGCTTCTTTTTGTTCATCAAAAGACGCATTTGTGTTTGGAGTGCAGCTGGAATACTGCAAATTGCAGCATTTGGAGCGCTTGAAAGATTGCCAATTACAACGTTTATGGTTCTTGAAAGGCTATACTCTGCTGAAAGGAAATCAAAGGGAAAATCCTATAGCAGAAAGGAAGAAAGGAGGGAAGGAAGGAAGGAGCAGTGAAGGAGGGAAGAAAGAGGAAAAGAAGGAGGGAGTCAAGGAAGGAGGGCAGGAAGGAAGGAAGCAAGGAGGGAAAGAAGGAAGGAAGGATTGCTCATCATGTTCATGGTTTTTCATCATGTTCAGCAGTTTTCATCAGTCTTCCATGCACGCGCAACAGGACGTCAGCGCTTTCCAGCGCAAGCCCGAATTCCAGCGCATTCCAGCGCGCACCCGAATTTCAGCGCATTCCAGCGCACCTCGGAATTTCAGCGAATTCCAGCGCAGACCCAAGTTTCAGCGCAATCCGGCGCAACGTCGCATTTCAGCGCGAAGCCGGAATTCCAGCGCATTTCAACACGTTGCGATGCATTGCGCAAACACCGCGAGGCACGCATCCACTGAGCCTTCATCAGATTTCGTAATTTTCATCGGTTTCATCACGCTCATCATCATCTATCATTTTCATGATATTGCATATTTTTTTCGCAATCTTCATGACTTTCCATTTTTCCCTGATGTTCGATACTTTCCATCCCTTTTCATCATTTTAATGATTTTCCATTGCTTCATAATTTTAATGTTTTTTTTGCAATCTTTGAGAAAATTTCATAGTCATTTTGCAAAGCACGTTCGCGCGAGCATCTGTCGTGAACAGTTAAACAAGAAGCAGGATGTCATGATAAAGTTTGCAGTAAAGGACGAATGTGCGGATCATGTTGTTTGCAAGCCCCTTGCCTTTTGATGGCCATCCATGCTCGCAATGAAAAAGAAACATGATGTCATCAGCATGTTGACACAGGAGGAAGGTTGTGCAGATCATTTTGTTTGCAAACGGGGCGGCTGCGCCCTCTCCACCCCACCCGTTTGTATACCGCCATGTATATACATCATGTCCTCACCAGTTTTTTAGTAAGGAACGGTGCTGCGGATCATTTTGCTGGCAAATGGGGATGCTGCGCCCCCCGCAACCCACACGGTGTTTTAAAGCCTGCGGCAAGGAAAGGTTGCGCGGATCATTTAGTTTGCAGATGTGGGGGCTGCCCCCCAGACCCCTGCTTGTTTAAAGCAATCCCGTGATTGTCCACACTTCGCAATGCAGGAGGATTTGAGGGTCTAAAAGCGACGACGGTCACGAGAATCGCGACCCCTGCAACCCTTGTGACTGTGGAGACTTTTGAAACTTCAGGAGGGTCCGAGGGTCTGAAAGTGACGACAGTTACGAGGATCGCGAGACCTCCACGATCCCTGTGACTGCTGAGCAAGACCGCAAAAATATCCAAACAACACAAAACCCTGCATCAATTTCACAGCCTTTGTTTTTTGATCAGTCGTTTCCCAATGAAGCCACGTTCACTGACCATCTAGCTTGCATTCCCTCCCAGGTCTAATTACTATTGCCTACATGTGGCCCTCATTGCATGCTGCAAGCGAATCAGCCGTGCACATGGAAGGCAATAACCGAAGCTCCACGACAGAGGCTGGAAGGGGTTTTGCGGCAGATGAACAGAATGCTTCTGTGCTACGGCGTCCACCTCGGATTGGATTCCCGCAAGGAAGGGGAGCGTCCGTCAGAGCCTGGAAGTCTGAACGGTCTGAATCATGCAGGGGGAGCAGACCTTGACCCTCAGCTTGCCGGTAGCAATTCCTGATTCAAACGCTGTGTCTGGTTTACAGAACAGATCACGTGCACTAGGTGTCATCTGGTTTTCCACGCTCTGCAGCTTCCACCCGGCCCCCAGTCCTATGCTGCCAGTACGGTTAGGTGCGCAAATCATGGTCCGTTCATGCCCACGCATTGGCGCATGATTCCATGCTCTGCAGGGAGAAGGAGACGATTCAGGTCAATCCAAGTATTGCGGTGTTTACCCATCTTGCTGTACCCATCTGAGCGGCGGCCAACACACCCTGCGTGGAAAACTATATACGTGTGAAAGCAAAGTAAAGATTGGTCAGTCTAGCTTTCATGCTGTGCGCGAGATAGCTCTCGAGATTGAAGCAGGAGCATTCTCATTGCAATTGTGCTCGTGACAGCAAACACATGTGCTCATGGTTCAGACAGCGTGCGTGAAACAAGTCAGTTGGGTGAAGTGAGGCATGGAAGCCTGAAATCAGATTGCGTCAGTACACTAGCACAGAGATGCGCCCACGTCAGCTTTTCGTGGCCGTGTCAGCATCGCGACAGGTTTAGCGATAGAAACACATATCAGAACAAGAGGTTCAAAGGGTTTGGACCACGGCTGATTTCATGAGCAGTTCTGACAATGAAAGCCAATGCATTCTCGGAGGCGAGCCTGTCAGGTCGGGATATCCCGTCGCGCGCAGCTCGAGCAGTTCCAGTAGCTCCAGCAGCTCGGGCAGCTCCAGCAGCTCAAGCTCGGGCAGCTCCAGCCGATCAAGCTCAGCCAGTTCAGGCCAAGACGCGAGTTGAACTTGTCTTTTTGATGCTCTGTGAACTGGCTGAGCAGCCCCGGCACAGAACATCGCCTCGATCCTGAGACAAAGTCCTTGTGTCGAAGTGCAGCACCCGAGGGCAGGACACAAAGAGTAGAAGCGTGTGCTGAAACATGTCTTACATGTAGAAGACTGACTTACTGTCCTTCTATGTCCTTCTGCCCTTCAGTTTTGTCATTTCAGTTGCGCGGGTGTGTTGTTAAATGCCAGCAGGCAAGCCTAATCACATAATCTGCTATATGCCAACAGCTCGCAGTTGTGAGAGTGCAAATCAGATTTGGCAGGATAGATGTGATGCTGGAGAAACACGTTTCGCAACTTCCACTGGACGTAGTTGCGGAGATTTCAAAGAGAGGCCGTCTTTTCTGAATGTTTGCACCGTGAGAAGGCTACACATCATTGGCAACATGCATCCTTTTTCAACTAGAAGTTCCGTAATGCGCTAGCACTGCTTCCAGGTGCCACTATCAGCTCCGCGGTTCGCCTAAAAAGCAGCTTTCACTCGACATGGCTCGTTGAAGTCGAGCCATTCCTGCAGGAGTTGGGGCTGCATTTTCTGAAGACGCTGTGGCAAGACAAGGGTTTGTAAGGTGAGCGGTGCCGAACCTTGACAGCTCAGTTAACCACGCAATGTTAACACCTTCCAGGCGCGTCCTACACCGATCCCGCACGTCACACACACTGACAAACGGGTCTGCCTTGACGATTCCTGGTAACATAGCTCTCGCTGGAATGCCTTGGCAATTTGAATATGAATGGCCGAGCACCTTTGCAGCACTAGCACAAGCCCAATCCTCGATGATCCTCGCCGCCGCTCCAGCAAAACGTGCAGCTCTCTCACTGCACAGCTTGTCAGCTCGACTGTTGGCTATCCATTTCCACAGCTTATCCGCAGAGTTCTTTTCGAGCCAATGTTCGAGAGAAAGGTGTGACTTTATCTTAGTGATCTCATGAGTGATTACTGCCTGGTACGACAGTTCATGCACTTCTTGCCAAACAGTAGGATGGCCCAAGCTAGCGAAACTAATGGACATCACGTTGCCAAAACGTGAGACAACATATTGTGCATCGGTAGCACATTTCAAGGGCTGAATGGCTCAGAAGCCTCGCCCGAGGCAGCAGTCTGTTTTTTTTCCGGCACCTCCCAGGTGCCAAGCTGAGCTGAGCATCAAGTTGCAACGCAACAGCAGCCAAAGCAGCTTTATGCTTTTCATGCTTGCGTGGGTCAGCGGTGAAAGGGCCACGAACAGCGTCACCAGCAAAGAAAAGATCTTGCCCCTTGTTAAAAGGCTCACCAAGATCGTGTGTCCAGGTCATCTGCGCAAGTCCAACAAGACTTGTGCTTGGAATCGTTTGGACGCAAGCGGTGCCACAGACGGTTCAAACAGGACAGCAGTGGACACCTCTGCAACGTTGTGAAGCACCGTGGAAACCGAAGCTTCTCCGCGGACGCCTTGGAACAGTGAAACGAGCCCCTCCATGCTCGACACCTCTACTTCGAAGGGAGTGGCTAAAGTCAACATCCCCACAGCTGGATTTCGAGGCTATGTTCAATTTCAGTCCAAATTTTGGCCGGTTGCGGGTCATCACCATAGTGCACGCTGTACTCAGCTTCGTCTGATCGCCCAACAAGCAACATCATGCAACATCTCGCGGCAACCAGCATGATGTAGGGAGGCCATCAGAGCAGCCATGGGACCTGCGAGCCCAGTCCTTCTTTTCAAGGGCAAGCGCTTTGTCGGTTTGACTTTTGTTGGCAGCCTTCTGATGGTCCTGATGATCCTTCTGACGGAATTCATGCTGCGTACATTCAAGCTGAACATCATCCAGTGTTCACCCATGGTTTCGACCAACGTGGACAACCATACCAGCTGCCTCATCTCCATGGGCAGCCAGCGACGGCCCGATAACATCAAAGCAGCTCCATCCTGTTCGTTTAGGACGAATCATTACCGTAGCATGTAGCGCGGCCTCTGCATAGCATCTGCAAACCTGCGGCGTGACACCCTCTGAATCTCAGCGCTGCGTACATCTACTTTACACGCGCTCAACGCCGAGGCGTGTACCGGACCATACCTCGGAGTGATGCATATCTAGTGAGAAATGAAGTACATTCCTGCTCAATTTTCTGCTCAGTAGTAAGCCTCAAGGCAAAATGCGCCTTCCAAGGCACTCGCGTCTCCTGTCGCTCGTACAGAAAAGCCGACACTGTTTGTCTACACCCACCTGACTCCTTTGCTGTGCACAATGCCTGCCTTGTGGTCACAGATTTAAGAGACCGCCGAATGAAGTTAAAGTGCAATTCTAATTTGACCAGTGACGCCTGAAACGTCCGGCTCAACCGATGGGTGGGTCCGCTGTAGATTTATGGATGACATTGTTACTCTTCAACTTGAAATGGGCAGAGGATGAAGCCACGTTGCGGATGCTCGAGGCACTGATCACTGGGTCTGGTGGTTCACGTTTCAGCGGGGCCTTGCAAAACTGCGTCACCGCCGCTTTTTTGTTTCTGCGTCTCCTTTTCCTTTGAGTTCGGCGAAGCTTGGCCTCTGGTGCAGTGGTGCAGTTTGATGGAGGGACCCCACAGGACATACTTTTGAATTCACATCGGTTGGCTATCCGACCCTGATGTTCGGTTAATCTCCGGCACATGTCCCTTGGAGATTTTTCCAATTACCTTGATGCTTGGGTTTGGAAGTGTGCCAGGATCAGAAAAGACACACCCGTGTCATCGTACAGATCTTGGGGGCGGAGGCCAGCATTTTGGCTACGCAAACACAACTTTCGCACAGAAGCATGCGAAGAGCATGCGCCTGAGGTTGGAGATCATGCGTTGAGCTTCGTCATCTCGGCAAAGCAGATAGACAAGGCCATGCAGCTGGCACGCCGCGCAGGCGCGCGTTCCGTAAGCTCATGTAAAATGTGTCCATCCATTGCCTTGCCATATGGGAGTCCGCCATGTTGTGCTAAGTCAGCGGAAAAGTACGGTGCAATGTGAGCAGGACAACAAGTGCGTTTTCAAGTAGGCGTTCATCAACCCCTGTGTGCATGCTCCACACTTAAGCAGTTTGGACGGTGTTTTTGCCAATGCTTGCGTGCAAGCCTCGCAGATTCTATCTGAAATGGGCAGAACACATGGTTGTCCCTTCCTGCATAAGAGAGGCAAGCAACAGTCGTGTTCATGGACTCCCGATGATGGGAAATCAATGTTCTCATGCCCTGCAAACCTTGCGATCTCTACATGACTGGGGCCTAGGCCCTACGCTGTGGCCTTTACCTGCCCAGAGTCCCGACCCATGCAGCATTTCTTAAGCCACTTACTAGGAACAGGATATGACCCAAATTGATGAAATGCGGCTGTCATGCTGCGTCGGGACAAAGCCTGAAAATTTCCTGCTGCATGCATGATTGACGTCATCAATTTCACTTGTGCAGAATCAGGGTCGTTACTGTTGCTGTTTGTGGAGCATTGCAGGAGGCGCAAAAGAGGCAATCTGCAGTTTCGTAGAAGGGGATCTCACGGCTAAATAGAAAACCACATGTGTAATCTTGCTGCTGGCTTCTTTTCGCTCAGGCTTGGGCTTAAGAAACTACATGAATCGATATTAACTATTGTGCTATGTGACTTGCTGCTGATGTGTGCATGGAAGACACGCGTCTGCGTCACTTCTACTTTGCCCAGAAGCAGCCTGCGATAATGTACGATTCAGGCCCANNCCCCCCCCCCCCCCCGCCGCTTGTCTTGTGGTCCTGTGAAATAGGGTGGTTCCCCCATCATCCCTTGTTCTGGTGGTCCTGCGGTGTTGGTGGTTTTCCCCCTCCTCCCCCTGTGGTCTCTGTGGTTATGGTGTATGTTACTGGGGTAGGTGTATTCGTAGATGATCCTGCATCATATT